CGGCCAGTACTCTTAACCTCTGAGCCATGTATCCAGCTCCATCTAACATGTTTTTAGTAAGAGAGAAACTAGGTAGCTTCTGGAACCTTCTTTAAAAGAAAGTTACCATATTCATATATCAGTTAATGCTTTTTCTTCTAAGATCTATAGCCTTCAGCTTGAAACGTGACTTTTGGTACCAGAAGTATCTTTTCACCCACATGAACCTGTGATTCTAAAAATGGAGAAGTAAGCTGGAAGCAGCCCAGAGCTTTGGGGACTGTGTATAGGCGGACCCTACTAGCAATGTTTTCTCTTGAGTACCTATCTCCATTTTATTCTCGAAGACAAATTAAACCCTAATATTATTAGCCACACTTGAATCTTTGCTAGCCCTTCAGGTCTTGTAGAGTAGGCAATAAGGTAAGACAGTTCCAACCAGCCAACTTCAGCATCCTGGGCCAAATTCAGCAACCTGGTCCTAATTGATTCTCTACCTTCTCACTAGAGTCTGCATTCTCACTTTTTTTTTTTTACAAAGAACATTTTGGGAAAATCAACCATTATTTATGTAAGTTAAGAAATGTATACAAAATTTAAGGAAATCTACAACTGCTCATAGCAAAGCCTTGAAATAGTTACAGAAATGAAATCATTTGTGGTTTCCTAAACATGGTCAAAATTAATGTCTACAAGCAGATTCACACAAACACCAAAACTCTGTGTTTTGCTCTAAATGTTCATGTCTGCTACTCTGGAGAACGATTCTCTTTAGCTGTACTGGCAGAAGCTAACTGGACACAGGTGCCTGTGGTTGTTATTCATGCTGGAAAAAGAGACTGCAGCCTGAGAAAATCTGAAGAGTTACCCACACATGGAAACCTTTTATCCCAGACCTCTTTGAGTTTCCTATCAAATACCTGGTTAGACAGAGCTCCTGGGTTACACCATTTTTATAAAAAGCGCTTTTATTTACTAGATCCTGGACTATGACCGGAGTTGCATTCTAAAGGGAATTGCAATCTCAATTCAAATGTAATTTAAGAAAAGAGAAAGATAAGCAGATACCATTAATATTTCTTACAAGGAAAAACTAATGGGTAAAATGAAACAGAATGTTAATGTTGCTTATCACTGACTATTGAAGTAACAGGCAATTCATTTCTTCCTTTTATTTTCCAAATATCCTGCAATGCGAATCACTCAATTTCCTGAAATACTTTATTAAATTAACAAAATAGATGTGAGAATTAAAAATATTAAGAAAATTATTATGGCAAAAACTATCCTCCAGCAATTCTCACTTATCTGTGTTATAAGAAGACAGCAAAGCTAGAGTTACCTTCCGAGGTCAAGCGAACACACAGTCTACCCCCATTGTGACCTTGAGGCTCCTCCTCTCAGCCTCCTCCTTTGAGCAGCTATACCTGGCCTGCAGAGCTGCAGAGAAACTGCAGACTGACCTGAGAGCTCCTGGACTTCAGTTTCTACCAGAGGAACAATCACTGCACATCATTGTGATAGCAGATGTCCAATCAGTTCAGAAAATGCTGTGTGCATGGTGTGGGGAGCAAAGATGAATAAGACAACCCTCTGCCTCTACCAAGTGGTAAGAATCATATTACAATAGTGACAATGTGATGCTCTCCACTAAAGAGGTGCAAGAAGTTCAGTGGCAAGTTTCTAAGTTTTACAAGGCAGAATATTCCGATGTAATGAAATAAAGAAATATTCTGATAAAGAAAATAAAAATGCTTGGGTGGTGGTTGCACACACCTTTAATCCCAGCACTCAGGAGCCAGAACCAGGAGGTTCTCTGTGAGTTCAAGGCCAACTTGGTCTACAGAGCAAGTTCCAGGATAGACTTCAAAGCTACACAGGGAAACTCTGTCTCAAAAAACCAATAATAATAATAATAATAATAATAATAATAATAATAATAATAATAATATAATAAATAAAATGCCAAATTCCAGAGTTACTTATCCCAACTATGTGACCCAAGATACAAATTTTCTCTGTATTACAGGTTCAATATTTTTCAGCTAGAATATTCCTGTCTAAGAAATCTGCTTCTATAAATTGATTTAACACTTTGTGCATAAACTGATCTAATTTCTTCAATAGCTATAGACTGAAGTTTATAAGTGTGCATGCACACTTATGACCATGTACTTACATGAGTATGGAATAAAACATAAAAAATATCATATTTAATCTTTGTTCATTTGCAGAATACAAAAAGTTATTTTTTCCCATTTTTCCTGTTGAGGAAATGAGGCACAAAATGAAAAAGGAAGTTTTCTAAAGTCGTATGACTATGTATTTGAGTGAAGCTTTGGGTAGCTTTGGATATTTTACATGAAGTGTGTTTTAGAATGAGAGCCAACTATGAGTAAAGGTACAGAAGTCTAGCAAGAAAGTATGGGAGGAGCAGCACATGACCCTAGAAATAGTAAACTCTAGATCCATGCGGTGAAGTTGCTATGCATCCCATGACATTGATCAAAATTCTTAACTAATATAATTGCCTACAAAATAAGACCAATAAAACGTTCCTTTCAGGGTTGATACAGAGATCAAATAGCATAATGCATGAGACCTGTTTAGCAGTGTCTGACAGGTGGTAGACCGATATTTTATCAATTGGTGGTGTTATTATTACTGTGCAAATGGCATAGACTGACCAGATCAAGTGCATGGGGAGATGAGAAGCAGACCATAATTGACTACAATGCCATTTATAACCCAGTCTTGAAGAGTCCCAAGTACCGGCCATGAAGTTTGGAATCTTATAAACAGTTTGAGACTTCATCTCCAGCCAGCATTAACTGTTGAAATTTCTTGAACATTCACTTGGTAATTAGATAGAAAATGGTACTGCATGGGGATCAAGGGGTAAGATATAAAAACATATATAAACAAGTCCATATTCACAAACACTGATATTAACTACCCAGTTATCAGACTACTGAAAATTCTAGAAGAAAAAAATCATTATTAAACTCCAGAAGTGTCAGTCTCTATAGGACTGAAATTATGTATGAAAGAAATTTTAAGCATGAAATGTCTGAACTGTGAACTGCCTTTATTCCTTTAACATTCAAAGGTTAATAATCATATCAGTGACCCATACTGACTGCAGGAATGTTCTGAGTTATTAAATGTTCTGAGTTTACAACCAGATACAACAAGAAGAGAAAAAGACAGAAAAAATATGAACTAAATCTTTAAGTTTGAATTCAACTCAATTGATCACTTACAAGCTAATAATGCAAGTCAAGCACATTTGCCAAATAAACATACGTTGGACATGGAACGTGCATTTTCTGTTTTCTTAAAGGTTTTATCTCTATAGTACAATCACATAATTACCATTTTGTTGCATTTTTAGTTGCGTAAATTGAGGCTCTAAGAAATTAAGCAACTTGTCACCACACACAAAGATTGTAAACAATTCAAAACAAGAGTGGAAATTGATATTTGTCCCTGTATTGTTTGCTGAAAACTGACGGCGCTGTCACCAGTGCCACTGCAGCCCTCAGCACAACTCAGGAACCGTCACCACTATCGCCACTACTGAGCGGACACTATCAACTACCTACGGTAAGCACAACCAGAGTCACAAACTTTGTTATCATAACCACGAATGACAATTACCGTGAATGCCCACCACCATCAAAACCTAGAAGTACCAAAACTACCCTATACCTCCATTGCTGCCCTGTCAGCATCATCTATCTACTCTCCAACAGGTGTTTCTTCCTTTAGAAAGACTAGCTTCTTTAAAGCCAAGGCTTCCTCCAAGGAAAAAAAAAATTCTGTTGATTAAATCCCCAAGAATAAATTTCTCTCCCAGCTTTCTGCAACAGGAAGCTGCCTCTATCAAAGCAATTGTCCTCACTATTTCTACCTATAGATCATTGCTAAATTATTTTTAAGATTAAACAAAAAACAGAATTAATCTTATTTCATGGAGTCATACATCATTGAATCTTATAGAATAAAACATATTTACAAATTTGAAATGCATGCAGTATATAAAGCAATGCGTATATCTGAGAGAAATAGGCAGACTGTGCTGCTGCTTTAAAGATAACTACAAATCAGCATGTAAAACATGTGACCTCTACAGAAACTCAGAAGCTTACGTCTGTTGCACAGAATTAGTACCTGAGTTCGGGGTCCGTCCCCTGAACCCACGTAAACACTGAGGCCTATTTCTTTTACACGGGCCGTCCCAATGCATGGGAGTGATAAACCAGAGGAATCTGAAGGCTTGCTAGGCAGGCAGATTAGCAAAGTCTGTGTTCCAGTTCATCAAGAAAGAGAGACAATCTTAAATAATTCCGGTGGAGAAGCACTAAAAAGGCACCCAGTGCCACACATTGAACTTCATGTTGTGAGTGACAAACACACACACACACACACATACAGACACACACACATAGGGTGGGGGCACCCACATACACCAGGAAAAAAAAACACAGGCAAAACACACACACACACACACACTCACACACAGGGTGGGGGTACACACATATGCCACATAAATACACAGACAAAACACAAACATACACACACATGAAGAAAAAAATACAATATCTCAGGGTCCACTCCTAAGGTATCAGGGTGAGTCTGCATTGCATCAAGATGTCCAAGTAGTTTACAGCACTTCAAAACTTAAGTAGGATCAACCCTACGTCCTTTTGCTAAAGTAAACTTTCTGTACATAACAGCAGGCGATTTTTGTATAGCACCTCATGTGACACCTTAATTCAGATTCATAAGAAACATAAACATTTCTTTTTGAATAATAATTTTAGAATAGAGACAGTTTCAAGAAGGTGGGGCTCTAGCTGGTCCATCCCTGAGGGATAAAATTATGAGGAATCTTGCTTTAAGAAAGGAGAAGGCAGAATCAAGTAGAGATTTTGCAACCCGGGGGTAAAAACATCATTTAAAAAGGTTTAGGCAACGAGGTGAAACAAGACACCAGATAGAACATGTTCTTTAAACAGAGCAGTACTGAAAAGAACGCTGGAAAATACTGCCCCCTTTGAAGTGGAGAAGGCAAAGCTGGGAGAAGCTGTGGCCGACGTGGCAGCGGCAGGTAACGAGGTTCTGAAGGCACGATTTCACTCTCTCTCCCGATAGAAACAGTCATCTGTAATCAACTTATTTCCTATAATCAGTTTTGAAGAATAACAGCCTGGGTGACCCAAATAGTTCAGGATCACCCCAGGGATGAAATACATGATCCTTCCTAGTCCCATCCCATACCATACAACCCTCTCCTTAGCCCCAGTCCTGTCCTTTCTCTTAACACCGCAGGTTTCTTTGCTTTTTTGCAAGTTCTGCCTTTGAAAAATCTGTCCACCTTTGGCACCTTCTCTGAAAACCTCTATAATTAAAATCTATTTCTGAAATATTTATAGACGCCTGTCATGGTCTTCTCCTGCTATTTAGAATCATAAAATTGTGGGGTTTTTTTTTTTGTTTTTAATTAAGAAAGCGAGCCTATGGGAAATGAAGCAGACAGTCTGACCCTGTACCTGCCCTTAAGTTCTGTGTGTTTCTTTCCCCCTGTGCTCTCCTACCAGTCAACACTGGAATTGAGGGGTCAGGTTATCCCCATTCTTGCCTTAATTGAAACACTGCCATCCAGTATCTGTAAGAATTAATCAGCCTGCAGTCGCATCTTGGTTACTTTGTCAAAACATCTAACACATTCAGCAGCTGCCTGTACACCTGTACAACCGTAAAGAAATGTGCCTGCATCATAGAATTAAGATATGGCAATGCTATAGATGCTTGGTAAAACAAAACAGTGCCAGGTAAGTTTTCAATAAAGAAAAGCTGATTGAACTCTGAGTTTTTCACTATAAAACAGAAAGTTAAGAAATATAGCTCGTAAAGACAATTTAAGGTTTTACTGTAACTCTAGGGGAAGTTGTTTATTCCTCTTAGCACTCTGACAAGATATCCTGAAAATTTATGCTAAAAGGTTAGTATCATGCAAGAGTTTTCACTACTAATATAACTTAATATGAAATATCCCCGGAAGTACAGAAAATTGTGGTTACTCATCCCACACCTCCTATCTTCCAAATTCCCAAGCACAGACCAAATACAGCTAAATTGTAGAAAACCTTTTACAGAAAAACACATGCCCACACAGGCACAATCCCAAAATGAGTAGATTCCTGTCCAAATAGTATCTCTAAATCAGGGGTGGGCGACAAGCACATCATGAGGATTTTCCTAGGTGCCTGTGTTGGGCTCAACTCAGGGACAAGCTTCCCTGACACACAGAGCAACATTGCCATGCTGGACTCTCATCTGTCTGTCAGGAATTTCCTTGATCACGTCAGTGTCTGAAATTAAACCCTGCTCATTCCCCCTACTAGGTGTAAGTCGTGGCTGCTCGATTATTCATGTTTATTTTAAATGAATGGATGCATATATGTGTTTTCGCAGATTTTTTTCCTCCGGATCCTGGGTTTCTCTCTGGAATTCTCTTTATAAAACAGGAAGTACCTATTTCCCAACTTCATCAGACATGGGCTAATTAGTTTCCACTACTGCTCAGAGTGGAGGGTCTGCCTATGCCTCCTACTACCGGTTATTTATTCACTGAGTTAACAGTTAACCCAAGGAAAGTTTATATTAAGTATAATTAGGAAAGACATTTCCAGGTTCACGTGGAATGTGTTGTTGGGCTTTGCTTTAGTTTGGTGTTTTGTTTTCTGATGTCAGGAGATGCATTCTGCTGAGAAATATGACTGTACAGCCCCCTGTGAGATTCAACAGCTTCTTTTCAGGAAAAATAAATAAATAAAGCCCGAAAATCAAAGCCGACTTTCTTCCAGAAAAAGCATGATCTATCAGGTCAAAGTTCAAATTATTTCAAGGGAAAAAATTATTTTTCACCAAGGTGAATTATTATTCTTGCTGTCATCTGAAGTCTGTGAATCTGAAGGGTAATTACATACAGGATAATCACCAGCTGCTGTGTGCGGAAGGAGGCTGGAAAGAAAACCCTGCATGTCCTTATAGAGGCTGTGGGCTTCCCGAGAGTGGGAATAGCATATTATACTAGTTATGTCCCACGGGAGTGGCTAGCCCAGTATATGACAGACCCAAGAAATATTAAATATGCTTTTAATGTAAGGAAGCTTTGCCTATTAGGAACTACTAAAACTACAGACTAGGTTTCTGAGAGGAACTTTTTGTCTAGATATCTTGTAAAAAGAGAACAAACTCACAGAAAACAAGCTAGAGAAAAGGTCCAATGAGCGCAGTACTCACTGTTGGAGGATTTAGTCCAGAGTCCCAGCACCCACCTGCCCAGCGGCTCATGCCTATAACCCCAGTGATGAAGAGCAGATTTGAGCAGACCCCAGGGTTTCACCGACCGGCAAGCTCTTTTTCTTATGCGTGGCAAGACTCCACACTCTGGGAAATGAAAATTGTGAATTTTAAAGATAGGTGGAGTTTGCCTCTAAAGCAGTTAGTTCTTCAGTCTCCACACACGTAAGACAAGATTGATAGCTGACTCTCCCTAAACTCACAACTGCCTAAAGGACAAAATGTTTAAAGAGGGGCAGGAGGAAAACGGAAACCTCCATAAAGCTACAACATTTTGAAGTCAAAAGTAATCAGTGAGAATTCTAGAAATGTAAGTTTATCAATTTTAAGGTGAAATTCCCGAACAATCCTTTGATGAACTTCTTTCATTCAAAGGTGTATTTACAAATATAAGCCATCCTGTTTGAGAAGCAGTAGCTCAGCACAAATTAAGTTTGTGCCACCTTAGATTCTGACCCTCAAGAAGAAATCTATTTTTCTCTGCAGTCCAGTCCAGACATATAGAAGTAAGACTGAATTTTAAAGGAACCACACTCATGCTTGCCCAACACACCACCCCATCCTGCTATGTTCTACTCTATTTCAGTGCATTGACTGTAGGAAAAAGCAATAGCTCTCAGAAGGTCAGCAGCACTATGCAAAGCCTTCTTAACCACTTTTCCCCATATCCACCTCTGCCCTCTGGGGACCACACAGAAAATAATTTGGAAGCTTTAAGACAATAGCAGACTTATACTTCTGTGATTTCAGGTGCACCCAACAGGTGCGTAGCAACTTTAGTATTAATAATGTAGCAGGAAAAGTCAGTTTAAACCCTTGAGAGACCAAAGTCTCATCCGATACCACTTCAGCTATGCTGCCTGCCCTGAAATCTGCCTATAATGACTTCTTGCTTCTCCATTATTATTTCTGACACAATTAGCACCCCAATTAGTCGAGGTTGCTTTTGCTTACACCACATGTGGTCTGAGGCTTTCTAACATACGTATGATATTTCTTGCTAATTCTTAAACATTGTTTTATCCGAGTCATGTTAATGACAAGGCTTTACTGAAACAAGTTCAGTCTGCTCTCAGAATACTACTGTTTGTTGCCAATAAGGTAACATGCCCAAGGATCAATCAATCACAACAACAACAACAACTAGCAATCTCTTTGTAGTTGTTGGATCACTTGGTACCAGGGCAGTGACACTTTCTCTCACCAATTGCTTCCCTAAATCATTGATATTTTAGTAGTTTGGGCTATGAAAGGAGAATTCTCAACATTTGATCCCCAGCAGTTGTTATAGGAGACGCGTAAACAATTTTAATAATTCTGTGCTGTTTGTACCTAAAGAAGGTAAGTAAGCTATCAAAAAGAATTCTTAAAAGAAGGTCTGATTAAATGTCGGCTGGCTAGCAGCAGCTAGGAAATCAGAGAGCCATTGAGAACAGATGTTAAAACACGTAGTCAAGATTTACATCTAAATTATGAATTTAGAGTGTCTCTTTTAATTTTTATATTAGCACAAATTAATTACAAAGAGAAAGTTCCACATGCAGATTTTGTTTATGTCACTCAGTATGTTTCTTTGCAAATCTCCTTCTCACCCGAATATCCGGTCCCTTTCCTTGTCACAGTTCATACTCTTAACAATATTATTACTACTTAGAGCCCGGAAATGAAGGTGAGGACTCTTCCTCTACAGTGGCATGGTGCTTTAGGTTTGAATGCAATGCATGATGAGTCACACTCAGACCTCTAGGTCACCAGACTGAGGTGGCAGGGGAAAGGAGGGGGGTTACAGAAGCAGGAGTTTGCAAAGAGGACCCCCCAAGGAAAAGCTGTTTGTCTCTGGACCCTGTCTTCCACTGGGACAATGAAAGTCCCAAACTATGCAAATTAAGGACCGCTGTAGTCTTGCTGGGTTAAAGAGTGAGGGTTCAGGACAGAAGCACACACACTTGACTCAGTCACTGATCTCCCAGGATGGAGGAGCAGCAAGGGCTGTAACCCTTTGCGGAGACACCTGTATCTCTGTTACCCGGAACTGACCAAGCGCTTACCCTCTGAGTGCCTAGGAAAGTGTTTTGTGTTGCTCTCTGCCTCCCCCATTCTCATCCCCATTTTATTCTTACTATTTCTTTTGCTCAGGTGTGTTAGTAACCTCGACGGTTACAGCCACCTTACATTCCTGGGACACACAGGTAGCTGCATTCCCTTGAACAGTCTGAGGAAAAGTGTCTGCTTCTGCCTGGCTGCACCCAGCACCGGACATCAGGAGGTGGAGGGCAGACCGCCCTGGGAAGCAACTTGCCTGCCTCCCAAGGATGTACCTGATAGTTCCCGCTGAGCCCCACCTGGAATCGGGTTGTCCCGGGCTCCTGCTGGCTTTAGTGGAGAAGAGGAATTGTCCTCCACACCAAGGCAGGCACCTCAGACTCTGCTCTTTTCTGTCACTCATCCTAAAACACTGCACCAGCAACAACCTCTTCGGTGGAGAGAATGTACCCCCCAAATCCAACCTGCACCCTAGATTGCGTCTGCCCAAATTTAGAGGGGTCCAGGGCTTGCTGGATCCGCTGGTCTTTTCTTACCCTCTGCCTCCGGGCTCCTTACTCAGCACTCCGGGTCTTGGTCAGCTGTTTTCTTACGCCCCCACCCCAATTTTACTACCGCGCCCCACTACAGACCACACTCTCTACTGGGTCTCAAGTGTGGTGCCCTGAGTGACCACTCTTGGAACTAGGGTGCCACTCTCTCTGGGATAGGGTTCTTTGGGAAACTCACCTCCCTATGGAATTTGCATCCTCCGGGGAAGGGGCTGGACTCCCAGAAAGCTGCCTCCAGGGACGGGTTACGATCTCTCTGCCCAATCTGTCGACCCCCTAGTTATTCCCTACTCATGCTCTAACTGGGGTCCCTTCCCTGCTTTCCTGGGCTCCCAGCGCAGGGGTATCGGGGACTCTTGGGGGGTGGAGCAACAGCGGCGAGTGAAGCCCCTCTCCCGCCGGGGCGCGGGGGGCTGGAGGAGCAGGAGCTGCTGCTAGCCCCTCCCTCCGAGGGACGGAGGGGCTGACGTGTAGGGAGGGTCCGGGCGGGGCCGGCTCTGCGATCGTCCGCCCCCCCTCGTCCGCGAGTGAGGAGGAGGGCGGGGGTGACGCGCACCGAAAAGGACTTAAGTCGGAGAAGTTTGCGCACAGCCTCATCTCTGGGAGAGCAGAGGCAGGCTCCGCTAAGGTGAGCCTCCGGCGCTTTGGGGAACAGAGAGCACTGGGGAAAGGACCCTTGCCTTGAGCCTAGCTTACAACCTTAGTCTTTGAACCTATCCCTTCAAGGGTTTAAAGTGTCTGGAAATTGGGAGGGGAGCAAGAAAGTGATCAAGACTAACCCAATTTGCTCTCACATTAAACTAGGAAAGCCAGCCTCCCAGGACCCTGGGTGGGCTGCACCTTGCAGCTTGCAGACCCTCCTGGTTGGAGAGGTGCGCACTTCCGCACCTCACCCTGAGTCTGGCATCCTCTGCCAGGGAAATGCCCAGTGAAGCCTGAATTCCTGAGAACGCCTGAGCAGTGCCCAGACACCCAGTGAGAGAATTCCTGGTAAGAAGGGTTTGGGGCAGGAGTGAATGGGATTTAAAGATTTGGGGGGTCCCAGAAATAGCTAGAGGAGTGGTGAGATTGATACTTTGGGTTTTTTATTGCTAAATTGTGATTTGATTGTGATGTTAAGGTCTCTTGTATCATCTCTGTTGTTTGGGTTCTGCTGCTTGATTAAAGAAAAAAACAGGTGTCCTTGGAAGGTGTTATAACTTACAATTTTGTGTTGAGAAGCTCTCTAATTACAAGTGAATTTTATAATATTATTCATATGAATATTCTCTCAAAAGTTTTAGTCTTCATTTTATTGAGTTTAACAGTTTCTAGACTTAAAGTCGTGATTTTTTCCTAATAGGTGTTTAGTAACTAGTAGACGACATCGGCATCTAGAAAATGTGTTGCGTTGTTCTCGGTCTTGTAACAGTCTTGAAATTGACTACAGGAGTGAATGGGGTGGCTTGTTTGGTCATGTTTTTTTTTTCTTTTTTACAAAGAATTACTTTCCAACAATCATTTATGCATAGCAGCCATTCTTCACACCTATTAGGGAAATCTGCCGTGTGCATAGTTTCCAAAAGAACCGTCGTTTTCATGACGCTCTTTCCAAGCCGGGGTGAAAGACATCAAGAAACATTTCAACAAATTAATTTCTCTTCTCAAAACAGTTGTTTTCCTTGAGGTGCAAGGAAATGTAAAGTCAGAAATCAACAATGCAATTAGATTTGTCACTTATCATGCCGGTTTTGTTTCGGGAATCTACCTAAAAGTTCTATATGATAGCTTTAATCCAATACGATATATAACCAGAAAAGGGGGGGCATGGTCTGCAGGAATCCGTGACCACCTTTGTGGTGGAAGTGGCTCTGAGCAAGCCATCTAATCAAGAATATTTGTTGAAATTATTGGGCAACTGAGACTAAAATGCTCAAAATAAGCTAAAGGTTGACCATGTTCCTGAAGCAAATGTTAAATATCCGAGTGTCCAAGTTTCAGTGTCTGAAATGACCACAGAAGACAAGTATTTTATATAGTCAAGCCGATTGACTTGGCATTCAAGACGAAGTGGAGATGCTTTTTATGCTATGAGGTTTCTTAAAGATAATTTGTACTAGTTTGTTATTGGTCTAATAATTTCAGTAGTTAAAGAATTCATCTTTAACAAGTTGGAAATGCTGGTTTCGTATACTTTTGTTATGAAAGGAACTAGGATACCGGGGCTCACAAAGCCTTCCAGTTTGTCAGTAATCACATTCATTTCTATTCTAGCAGTCCCAAACAACCCTCATCTGGGATTTGTTTTGGTTCAGTAATGACTCGAACCTACAGTTAATTTTTAGAACTAAAACTATGAGGATAATATTTGTCATGTTGTAAAAATGTTTTTTGCTTATTTACCACACCAACACATTGAAAACAGTAAACATGAACTATTAATCATAACTGATCCACAAGAGCATATAACAGCCTTGGAATTGTACTATTTCATGATGCTTAGATGTAAATTTTAATTTATATAAGTATGGTTCCTATTTCCCATTATCTTGTAGTTTTGGAAGAGAGCAGATAAATAAAGATAGCCTTTACTTCAAGCAATTAAAGAATTGAAGCTAAATATTAGTATAATAATGCTGTGGCATCTCTGTTCTCCAAGAACACCTCTCAGACTTTTCAATGTCGGCTTGAATAAAAATGCTCTCTCTTGGTCTTTATTACAGTAAACGTAAAGCGATGATAAAGGCCAGTGATGTTTCACTGATAACTTGAACTGGTGTTCTCAACAAATTAGAATCCCTGAGAGAATTTTTGTTTAATAAAATAAAGGTGGGGGGAAGCATGCCCGACCCTACCCAACCTAATTAAACTAGAATATCTGGGGAAGAGGTCTGTATATTGATATATATCTTTAGGTGATTATAACATGTAACCATGACTGATAAGAATCAGCCAATACAGTTTTCCATAAGAATTGATAGAATCTATTAATGTTAGAGGGTCTTAGTGAACATATATGCCACTTACTGAATTGCTGGTCGGATCTTGGATTTCATAGATTAATGAATGTTGAAATATCTTGGTGAAAATAAACATCATTTGTTATAGTGTCTGTCTATTCTTTTTTTCCATGTATGTGATGCATATAACTTGGTTTTCTAATTAGAAGAAAGATTTTATTCCTTGATGTCAGATGTTTAAGTACTAACAGATCCTAGGAAAATACGTTTTCCCAGAAAACGTGCTATCTGGCCATCCAGAAAATGTTTTAGTGAACTAACTCTATCTCCAGTAAATATTAAAAAATAATTCTTATAATTTGATTTCCTTTTGCTAAGACCTATATGCTGTACAGTGTGTAAATATGTGAGAAGGAAAAAAATTAAGAACCATCCTCCCTGGCATACCAGGTAACATTCTGGGTGCCAACTGTGTTCTAGTATTTTCATACAAATTAATTTCGTAAAATTCATAACAAACTTTTGAGGTTAAAAAAAAAAACCTCTGCCCTGATTTTATATATGAGAAAATTGAAGTTCTATTATGCCTAGAAACTTTCATAATGCCACAAATTAAGTTAACTAAAGATGTGCTCAAATTCATACCTTCTTATTCTGAGTTCAACTGTATCACTAAAGCACACCTTAAATGAAAATTTATATTGTTAAAAATTTTAAAGACAGCATCTATTTGCAAGTGATATAAGGTAAGAGCAAAGATTCTGACATAGCTGTGCTCGGGCAGGACTCCTGGCTCCATCACTGTTCAACTGCAAGAATCGGGCAAGTAATTCAACCTTTTTTAGTTATAAAGGCTAAATCTGTTTAAAAGATTTTTTAATGTGGATTAAATGAATTAATATTTGTAAAGCATTTGGGTAGTTTCTTTGTGCATAGTAGGTTCTATATAAGTGTTATATCTTAAATGTAATTTATTCATAAACATTTTGATTATTTACTAAATGCCAAGTATTGATTCAAGTCTGACAGTACATTTAAAAAAATCATATCTTTGTCCTAAAGGAATTTTTTCATCTATAGAAAATAAGCTTACATAAATAGAATGATTATTCCTCTCAGAAATTGGCATTTCTTCTATAATAAGCATAATTAAAGGCATGGTTTGCTACGTACAGCAATTATGTGATTTTCAATTGTTGATTTGATCTTCGGGAGTTTTAGTTGATGAAAAACCAAATGGTAATATTTTCTGTTGTTAAAAATGGTCCTAGGTTGTTTTAAATTTCACCAATACACAAAAATCAGATACTTCTAGCTTCAATGTATAAGGTTAGAAAACTGATCTATGATGAGTTTACAGATCTTGAAACTTTGCATTTTTCAAGTATATCATGGGGTTGGAGCATTCAGGAAGAATCAGTAGAAAATGCCATTCCTTTATATTGCTTAAGTGCAGTTTTCTTAAATCAGTCTCCTTGAAGCAATGTGTATGTGTGGATTTAGAATATAGTTCTGTTTTTATTCCTGAAGGAAAAAAAATATTTTTTAGGAAAGAAAATATCCATCAAAGGGCACAGTAAAAGTCCCTGGTACGACGCTGGTTTGGAAGCCTCCTCTCCTCAGACTTTCTTGCTAGTCTGTGCCTGCAGCTCCGCTCAACTGCTTGACACCTGTAGGCACCTGTGGGCACTTGAGATATAAGACGTGGCTTTGTTCTGATGAAAGCCTCTCCTTAATTAAAGAAATAATGGACATTCGTGTCCAATGTATGAGAATAGTTTGGCATCTGTAAACACGAGTTAGTTCTCAAAAAAATAAAGTACCTGGTTCAGTGCAATGCGATCAATATTTCTGTAATCAATATTTAACTGTATTGTTGCACTAGAATTTCTTTTTGGCAATGCATGCCTCTTTCATATCATATCAAGTCTCAAGGGTACTTTGAATTTCTGACAGATGCGATGCTTTTTCACAAGCTCCACAGTCACCCCTTTTATGGCCAGTATCAAAATATCTTAATATTCTCCCAATATTCAGCCACATTTCAGTCTCTGTGTGTTGAACTCACAACACAGGTTCTCACGCTTTGGTCTTGTCATCCTCTGTTCGTAGTTATTCAGTGATTGCCGAGGATGTAGCCCCTGATACTTCATGACATAACCCCACTTGACTTTTTTCCCCATCAATGAGAAGGAGAAAATCTCAGCAGCTCCTTAATTCCAGTTCTGGAGTTGCAGTTTTAGTAGAAAAAAATTGACTCCAGGTTTAGAGTCTATGTTTCACCTTCAACCTTTTGCCGTTATTTGTCAACCTTGGTTTATATTCTGTTTCTTCAAAGCTGCTGCTGCTGCTGCTGCTGCTGCTGCTGCTGCTGCTGGTGGTGGTGTGTGTGTCCATTTATATATTGGTTCAGTTGAAGAATCTTTTGCCTTGGTTTGTTTCTCCTGACAGTTCTTATCTTAGAGCTATGCGTGATTTGTCTGGGGCTTCGAAATCCAGCATTTCAGATCTAACTTGTTCATCCTTCAGAGAAGGTTAATTCCCCACCCTGCTCCAATAACATAACAAACTTTTGCCGTGATAGGATCCCTCATATTTCAACACTCAATAAATAGTTACTAAATATTTATTATGTTTTAGTCAGAGACTACTATGATAAATTACAGTCCCTGATTTGAGGAAACTAGAC